GACGGGGCATATAAACCAACCCCCAAAAGAACACTATTTTAAAAATGCTCCTATTTATTTCCACCTCTTTATATTTATGCAACTCATCTTCACAGATTGTCCTAAAATAAGATAGAGGTGATGTATGCTGTATCAACAAGTCATCTGTAACAATTATGTTTTCAGTGTTGTGTCATTCCAAATAAACCTTTGGTAATCTCCAAAAAAACCACAAACAACTGTGCAGTCCAGCTCATTAACCCACAGCACCACACCAGCCCACTTTTAGCACTATTCAAGTTAATGTTGTTAAGTGCCGAGTTGGTTCTTACTCACAGTGACCCTGTATAGGATCTTTGAGGAGCAGCTGGTGAGCTTGAACCGCCGACTTTGCAGTCCAGTGCATTAAGCCACAGTGCCACACCAGGACTTCCATCTGTTGTTGTTGTTATTAAGTGCTGTCGAGTCAGTTCTGACCCATCGCAAACCTCTATAGGGTTTCTGAGGAGTAGCTGGTGAACTTGAACAGCCGGCCTTGCTCATTTAGTGCCCCTTCAAATCAGGAACAAAGCAGGTTGCCAGTAACATGATTTTCTTTTAATTTGATAGAAGTCTGGCAGTGCTCTAGGAATTAAGACAGAGATCAGGTTGTTTGTATTAGGACCAAGCACTTCTAGTCTGTAGCTGCATGGAGTCCCTGGGGTGAGATTATAATGTCCCCTGTCTAGACTCACCAAGGCAGCTTTTACAAGGAGAGTGTGCTGGTGAGTGAGACTACCACAGCCCAAGCCCCTCTGCTGCACTGTTGAGTTGCTAGTCAGTTGGCCCAGTGCCCCTCCCTAAGGCTGTGGTGGCATTTGAGAGGCTAGGGAAGCTGTTTATTTAAACTCGCTAACCCTGACCTGACACTTAACTGTCCCCAAGGGCAGGATGAGACCTGGCCAGCCCGATTTCTACACACCTGACTTAGAGCCATTGCTTGGACCCCCAAGGAGCTTCCACCAAGCAAAGAAGCCAAGCAGTAGAGGAGGGGGACATGGGCTTCACCCTGTAGTGACCTGCTGCTCAGGAAAGAACAAAGGAATGCAGGCTCTGGGAAGATGAGTCAGGAGCTGGTAGATGAAGTGTACACAGTAAGGAGCCTGATAGTCAGAAACTGGAAAACAAGACCAAGGTGTTTCCCATGTACAGTGAGAGGCAGGCAGAACATACAATAACAACTGTAAAGCAAAAGTATTCATTCAATAAAGACACAGCACAAGACTTGAAGGTAAGGCAACACAGCCTATCCTGTGATGGAGTTTTTCTTTGGGGAAGGAAGAAGGACAGAAATTCAGTAAAACTCATAGTTTTGTTGCTACAAATGGTGACAAGTGCTAGGAAGGCAAAAGATTCTCAGCCAGTTACTGGAGAGTGTTCCCTGGGAAGTGGTATTTTAACAGACCAGAAGGCTGAGATGAGGTGTGAATGTGCCAGGCAGCAGGAACAGTATGTGCTCAGGCCCTACGGTGAGAAAGATGAAGGTTTGAGAATTGGAGGATAGTAGACTCCATACCAGAGATTTGACACCATAAAACTTGTGACATTATGAAATGTTCCAAGAGTAGTAGTTGTTAAGTGCTGTTGAGTTGGTTCCGACCCATAGCAACCCTCTATAGCGTTTCCGAGGAACAGCTGGTGACCTTGAACTGCCAACCCTACAGTTCAAACAGCTTTGCAGTCTGGCAGATTAACCCACAGCGCCACACCAGGACTCCATGTTCCAAGAGTAGCAGACTGCATATTATGAAGATTCTTCATATTATTCTCAATTGATAGATTTAGCGCTACTTCAAACAAAAGCATAGTGGGAATTTGGGGATAAACGGGATGGATTCTAAATGGCATTAGAAGGATAAACATGGTTTTAGAAAAAAGGGATAGAAAAAGAGTCAATGTGTATCATATTTGGAATTCTGATGTGGTGCTACAGGGTAAGCACTGGACTGATAGCTACAAGTTTGGCTGTTCAAACCCACCAGCTGCGCCTTGGAAGCCCTTATAGAAGGTTGCTATGAGTTGGAACTGACTTGACGGCACTTAACAACAGCAAATAGATTTAAAAGATAAAATCATTAAGGCAGTTTACTGCTAGCGTAACAGCTAGATGATGTTTGAATAAGAACAGTTCAGAAACTGAGTCCATTCTTCATACGTCAGAACTCTGTGATCAAGGTGAAATCACACATAGTAGGGTAAAGGAGAAATTGTTCAACAAATACTGCTGGAATAACTCATTAACATGTGGATACAGATGGCCACCCCACACCTCATGCTAAAGTGAATTCTAGAAAGATTAAAGAAGTGTACAAACCCAAATCACCAAGACAAAACGTCACCATAGAACAGTGTAGACTATGTAAGGACTATTTGGAGTCCTGGTGTGGTGCTGTAGGGTAAGCACTGGACTGCTAACTGAAAGATCAGTGGTTAAAACTCATTAGCCACTCCTTGGAAAACCCTGTACAGGGTCGCTATGAGTCGGAACTGACTTGACACTTAACAAGAAAAAGTGACTAGCTAGCCTCTGAGTCAGGTGATACTTTCTAGGAATAATGACAAAAATCTTAAAGGAAAAACATGGATTTGACTATACAAGATTTTAAATTCTTAGAAATAGCACAACTGATAAAGTAGAAAATAATTCAACATAAAATCTTTAAAAAGGAAAAATCAAATGATAATTGGGAAACTTTTGAACAGATTGATAATGGCTTATGTTTTGAATATGAGCAATTTTATAAATCAATAAAATTTACTTATCAATACCATGAGAACATGGTTTTAGAACAAGAAACTTGAATGGCTAATATAAATATGAATATTCATGCTTAATATAATTTAAGAATTATAAATCAGCAGAACAAAGAGATGCCATTTTAGACGTAGTAAATGAGCAGAGGTTTTATTTTCGTGGAAATACCCAGTTTGGTAAAAGATGACAGCGTCACTCTCCTGTAATATGTCAAGGTGGTTTAAGAAAAGGATGATCCCTTGACCCGGCAAGTTGTCTTCTATTTATAAGGGAGCAAAACCCAAACTACAATACTGAAGCATTAGAAACAACCTTTATAAATGTTTGAGTAAATGGGATTGAATATTATAAAGTAAAGTAAAGCAACTCTCTGAATTAATCTTTGTGTCAGGGTGGACCTTGTCCTCTTTCCATTCTCTTGAGTCCAGCCCAGTCCCACTTTCTTCATCGTAATGCCTCTGATCAGCAGTTTCCTGAGTTCAGCATCCACATGTCGGTCGGTTTCATTACCATTGTGGTCTGGCATTTGACATTGTTGATCACTCCCTTCCTGAACCCTTTCTGCATTAGGATCCTTGGCTACCACTTTCTCCTGGCCTTTTGCTTACTCGTTAGCTGCTCCTCTGCCTTTTTTTTTTTGAACCTCTAAATTAGTGCTTCTTGGCTTTGACTGCTCGCTAGAATCACCTGGAGGCTTTTTTTTTTTAATTTTAATTTGAGAAAACCTGGTGCCTAGAGCTCACTGTAGACCAATTAAGCAAAATTCTGAATGTAGGTGGCTGTTTTATGATTCCTAGGTATTTCCAATGGTCAATTTATGTGAAATTGTAAAATAGGAACCGAACTTGCTGTGTAAACTTGCCAAAAACTCAATAAAATAAGTTTTTATTAAAAAGTTTTGTTCTCATGCAGTAAGTACATGGATGGAGCTCTTAGAAAAGAAAACTGCTAAGTTTCACACAATGGCAGAAGCAAGAATGATCTTGTTAGATGCTAGTTCCCCTTTATGATATGCAGAGTTCATGTCAATATTGAGCTGAAGAAAATCCAGTGGCAAATATTTTTCTTAAGGCCCCTTTCATATCCTTGTTCCTGAGGCTGTAGATGAAAGGGTTCAGCATGGGGGTCACCACTGTGTACATCACAGCAGCTGTGATCTCTGTCTCTGCTGAGTGGGAGGATGAAGGGTTGAAATACAGAGCAATGATGGTGCCATAGAAGAGGAAAACCACAGCCAGGTGGGAGCCACAGGTGGAGAAGGCTTTCAGTTTCCCCTTTGTGGATGGGATTCTCAGAACTGCACAAGTAATAAGGATGTATGAGATGAGGATGCAAATAAATGGAGCAATCATTATTGGCCCTGCAACCATAAGAACCATCATCTCATTGAGGTGTGTGTCAGAACAGGAGAGCTTCAGGAGAGGAACCACATCACAGAAGAAGTGGGGGATCGTGTTGTCTGCACAGAATGAGAGTCGAGCCAACAGTAGAGTATGCAGCAAAGCATTCAGATTGGCAATGACCCATGACACAGTGACCATCAGAGCACAGAGCTGAGGAGTCATCTTTGTTGTGTAGTGTAAGGGGTGGCATACAGCAACAAAGCGGTCATAGGACATCACAGACAGGAGGAAATTGTCCAGGTCTGCAAACACAATGATAAAATATATCTGTGTTAGACAGTCAGAGAAGGAGATTGTCTGAGTCCTGAGTATGTGGTTGGCTAGCATCTTGGGGATGGTGGCAGAGGAGAAGCAGATGTCCACAGAGGACAGGTTGCTGAGGAAGAAGTACATGGGGGTGTGCAGGCGGGAGTCTGTTCTGATGGCCAGGATGATGAGCAGGTTTCCCAGGACTGTGACCAGGTACATGCTCAGGAAGAGCCCGAAGAGGAGCTGCTGCTGCTGCTGGGGCTGCCTGGAGAGCCACAGGAGGAGGAACTCAGAGACACTCGACTGGTTTGCTCCAGTCATGGGCAGAGATGCAGTTAATACACAACTGCAAATTTAGAAGCCTACACATGAATAGTTAAAATAGGACAAATCAAGCGTCACACACTTCAAACACTCATCCCTATGTTGCTGTTCCTCCTGGACTCACTGACTCTTAGGTATTTCACACTCAAAAACAGGCATATACACAGTCCAAGTTGGATTCTTCATGCCTCTCTTAACATTTCCCAGATCCCATCCCTAAGTACTTAGTTGTTCCCAAAGAGCCAAGAGAAGCAGCTGATCAATCTTAGGGTTGTCACAAGCTACAGATATCAGATTCAGGACTCCCTAGATTTGCAAGATTTAGCAAGGGGAGTTACTCAACTTTACTCCTTAGTAAATAAACGTTGGCTTCTCTATTGCTGTAGACTCACCTGGGAGGAGGGTGAGCTGTCCTGTATTCTAAAGATGGGCAAGTTTTGGAAATACGGCAAGTCCTGAGCGAGTAAAGAGGTTCAGGGCTTTGGTTCTGTGTGCAGGAAGGGTGCTTGGGGCATTTACAGGCGCCTCAGTGGCCACTGGGACCAGATTCCCAGAGAGGCTCATTACAGAGAAACAGAAACTCCCTTTGGACTTAACACTGATGACAAAGAGTATTAATTAACTTCTAGGTCAGAACTTGAAGCAATTTTGTGGGAGATAGTTCCCAGATAAATTCCTTGGGGCCTCAAATCTCATCACCTTATTGATAAGGGCTTATGTTTCTAGGTTTAGAAATTCCATTATTAAGACTTTTTCACCTTGACTCTTTTAGCTCAGAAAGTGGTGGGGAAGTAGTGTTGTGTCTGCAAACCTGTTTTATTCTCTGGTTACCCACTGCATGGACTTAGTGATGCTTTTTGCCTGTGGGAATACTGGGACACATCAAGATCTTGCATTCTTTCAAGGTTTTGGTGTAAAGAATAATCTGTGGGTGTTGGGTGGTGGGAGATGGGGAAATAACCAGGAAGTCCATTACATGCCACCATTGCGGAATTCCAGGTTCTTGCAGGAAAATTTTCTGGGCATGTCTTCCTAACTCACAAGGGATCAGTATTCAGAGAGTGCTCCCCCACTGCATAGGTCCCCTCTTTTCAAGGGCTTTATATTCTCATAGTGGAAGATCCATCCCCAAACGCAAACAACTTCATAGAAGGCTATACAGGGCACATTAGGAACATAAAGTAAACAGTTTTATTGGCTGGGGAAGAGGAAAGAAACTCTCCTAGATGACTTCTGTGACTAAGTTGTACAAGATTGGAGTTTTAAACACAAGATTGGAGTTTTTATAGATGTTTTTCAGGAAAGGAGGTCAGTGCAAGGAAAGAGGCTGAAGATACTGCAGATGTTGTTGTTAGGTGCCATCGAGTCGGTACCGACCCACAGCGACCTTATGCACAGCAGAATGAAACACTGCCCAATCCTGGGCCAACCTCACTACTGTTGCCATGCTTGAGTCCATCGATGCTGCCACTTGGCCAATCCGTCCCTCTGGGGGTCTTCCTCTTTTTCTGTGACCTTCCACTTTACTAAACATGATATCCTTCTCCAGCGACTGGTCCCTCCTGACAGTATGTCCGAAGTATGAGAGACTAAGTTTGGCCATCTTGGCCTCCAAGGAGCACTCGGCTGCACTTCTTCCAGATGGATCTATTGGTTCTTTTGGCAGCCCATGGCACTTTGAATATTTTTATAGAAGGCAGTAAATGTTCTCATGAGATCACCTCCACAGGGGAAGGAGCAGTCAAGTCTGACTGGAGTTTGAGTGTGCAGATTAGGGCAGAGAAAGAAAGGCATGGAGCAGACAGCAGATCATGGCATCCCTAATAGGAGGGGCATGTGCAATTTGGTTTGCTTGGCACAGTCAAATTAGATTTTACCTTTAATTATACACAAGCCTCCTTTTACCCACTCTTTTAGGATGATAAATTGTATAGCTGTCACAGTGAACCATATTGAAAAGTTGGATTTTATCCTGGAATCAGAGGAAGTGCCTTCTAAATGACAATCCTAGGAAGGATTTAATATGATCTGAATTGTGGAATGATCCCTGTGATTTCAGTATATCCCCGAGTAGAATCAGAAAAGCAGGACTCTGAGGCAGGAGACAAAGATTAAGTGTTGCGGTAGTTTAGTAAGACATGAGACCCTGAGTGGTGTCAAACGTGGAAAACAGGGACTGTCTTAAGGGATGCTAAGGATGTAGAGAGCAGAGCACCTAGTGGTTGATTGGGTAAGTGGGATGAGGGAGTATGCAGGATGATGATATTCAACACGGTAGCACCATCATTGGGCTAGGCAGTGCAGGTTGAAGAGAAGAAAGAGGTGTGTTTGCATGTGTTGGCGTAGGTTGTGGTTCTGATGGAGACAGTAGGGTTTGTTAGGTATGAAGTTGAAAAACATATGTCCAAGAATTGGGTATTGTGAGTCTTCAGTGAAGGGGACGTCTGGTGGGTACAGTTTCAGAAGTCACCATTTCAGGTTCATTTCTAGATATGAGAGTAGATATTATTGTCCAAGGAGGGAGTGGAGAATTAGCTAGAAGAAATCCAAGGATAAAACTCAAAAGGACAAGAAATATATATATGGTGATGGAGAAGAAGGTGACAATAAATGGGGCAAAGAGACAGGGAAAGAATAGTGTTTAGAAAGTGAATAAGTGTGAGTTTAAAAAGAACCTAATGATAAATGCATGAAAAATCAAGTAGGATGAATACATAGCATCATATTTTGCAAAATTATATTTTCAGGTAAAATACTGATGTTTTCAATAAATCGTTACTGATACGGCAGATGGACTACGTGGCAGAGCTTTCTTTGGCCAGGCCACTTGATGTCCCTTTTCACTGTGGCTCTCTTAGCTTCTTGGTGCTGCTGTAATGGAAATACCAAAGTGGTGACGTCACCAAATAGAAGGCCGGATTCAGGGTGCCACCTCTAGGGGAAGGGTTTCTGTCTTTGTTGTATTTGGAGGAAGAGCAAATTTAGTAAATGTTATTTACAATTTATTATTGAATCAATGTTTTAAATCAACAAATAATAAAAATAATTTAAGAGAAACAGTTACAGGCTAGGATGAACGATTTAAAAGAATAAGTGAAAATGTTGATTTAATTATTTTTTAGTAAAAGGAAATGGAAACGCGAATGCACATTGAAACACTCAGTATTGTTTTATTGTGGCAAAACACAAGGGTAGCAACAAATACTGCTGCTAGGGCTGCAGTGCATACATGCACGGGTTTGCAAATAAAACGGGTTTCAGCGTGCCTCTGCCTTCCGTGGATGGCTGCTGTAATACACTGGTCTTCCTCTCTTTGTTGTTGTGAAGTGCCATTGAGTCGATTCTGACCCATAGTGACCCTTTCGAGGGTTTACGAGGAGCAGCTGGTGAGCTTGAACCACGGATCTTGCAGTTCAAACGGCTCTTCGTCTCGTCAGGGTGCCTCAAAAAAAAAGTACAGTCAAAGCATGGCTTCCAAGGGATTCTGCTGGACCAGTGTTGTAAATGTAAATGTAAATGTAAATGTGTAGACTTCTTTGGGGAAGGGTTAGAGACATGGAAACACTGCTTTTGGAAGTGTGTAGTCTTAGACGGAGGTTATGTTGAGAAAACATAGCTTCATATTTTGATGTTTATGTTTAGTGGAGGTTTCTGTGATTTTTATAGCAATGCTTTTTGACCTAACCTCGTATGAAGATGCTTTGGCTGATGAGAGTATGATGATAAGACAATCTCATATCCTGCTGTTAGGCAATAATTTGATAAAAACATTCTGGAGCCTGGGAGTACAGTGTACTAAAGTCTGTATAAGACCAAAAGATCAACAATTACTCAAAGCAAGGACAGAGAAACTAGAGTACTGGGAATGGAACAGCCTGAACACATTTAAAGAAAATGTTGACATATTGTGAAAAACGTAATTAATGTCAATGAAGAATTTGTGCAGAAATTGTCAAATGGAATCCTAATTTACTGTGCATCATTTCACCAAAAAAACCACAATAAAATACTACTAAAAATAAAAAAAGTTATGATAAGCAATTGAGTCATATATATTAAAATGTCAACTATCATTCCAAATTTCTCTTTTAGGAATAATCAAGGACATGTCCAGAAATGTATTAACACAGCTGGTTATTGACACATTGTGTATAATAGAGTAGAAGTCAGAGTAAATGAGCAAAGCATGACTGAATATAAGGAAGCACTGCGAGCACAGAGGTTAATCATTTGACCTGCTAAAACTGAATTGTTGGAGCTTCAAACCCACCATCTGCTTCCATAGAGATTTACTCTTGTTAAGTGCCAGCGAATTGATTCTGACTCAATGACTCTATAGGATTTTCAAGGAGTGGCTGGTGGGTTTGAACTGCCAACCTTGTGGTTAGTAGTACAGTGCTTATCCTACAGCACCTTGGAAACCCTGTGGGGCAGTTCTATTGTGTTTAGAGGGGTTGCCATGAGTTAGAAGTGATTCATCAGCAACTGGTGTTCAAGTCTATTTCTAGAATGTCTTAGGATTTTATGTTTCATGAATTAATGTTTCTAAGTATTTCATCCTTTGGGTGGCTATTGTAAATGGTGTTGTTCCCTAATTTCCTTTTCAGAGCTGTCATATTAGTATAGAGGAATCCAGCTGATTTTTGTATATTGATCTTGGGCCCTGCTACTTTTCTGAATAGTTTTCTTGCTGAGTCTTTGGGATTTTCTATGTATAGGGTCATATCATCTGAAAATAGAGAGTTTTACTTCTTTGTCAATTTGGATGCCTTTAATTTTCCTATTTTGCCTTATAGCTCTGGCTAAGACTTCCAACACAGTATTGACTAGGTGTGGAGATAAAGGGCATCTTTGTCTGGTTCCTGTGTTCACAAAGGGAAAGCTTTCAGTTTCCCTCTGTTGAGAGTAATGTAGGCTGTTGGTTTTGTATATGTGCTCTTAATTATGTTGAGGTGTTTCCCTTCAATTCCTACCTTGTTGAGTGTTTTTATCAAGAGTATGTGTTGGATTTTGTCACATGCCTTTTCTGCTCATGAATTAATGTTAATGGTGAAACAGGATGCAAACTTATATGTTCATGGGAAAGGCAACCTTGGATACTCGGGTAAAACAGATTTTTTAAAACTAGAAAATCATTAGAATTGATAATGAATTCAAGAACTGGTTCCTAAGAAATAAATGGTTTAGTCAGTTACAAAAGGACAAATGTTGTATGAGACCCTTACTGTAAAAACTTAAGAAAATGTTTTCATACATTCACTGATGGTTACCTGGGGTATAAGGGAAGGAAGACTAATTGACTGTCTAGGAGGCAGACACGTGTTAGCTTGGGTGATGGGAAGGGCAGTATACAAGAAAAGGGAGGGAAACATACAAGTAAAGGGA